TGTATTACATACTTACTACTAGTTACTTATTTAGTATATTATTGATAAATATTAATTATAAATTTATTAATTAAATGATCAGGATTTTATAAAATCAAAGGCCTTGAGTCAAAGAAATATCGGCTTTTAAATCTAAAAGTACAGTCTCTGAACCGGCTGTAGAACTTAGGCGAGAAAAATAGCAGCGGTGCTTACCACCGTACTGTTGATGCATGTGGGCCTACCACCTTGTCAAGTCACCAAGCTAACGTATGAAACCCCGGTGGAGGTGTGCTCCAGGGAACGGATGAGAGCAGATCAATTTGGACGGGAGACGGGGGCGGGCAGTTGTCTTTGGCTGGCGCGTGATCTGCACTCCCGTCCTGCTTATTTTTCTCCAGTGTCTTTGCCATGTTGTGGCGATGGTTTGAGATCAACGGGGTCGAATGAAGACGGATATAGCGGCAGGGCGCATGGTAAACCTATTCGAGACGTCGAGCCTACCTGTTCAGTAGGCTCGCTGAGATGTCGACGGGAAGCTGGGAGAAAGGGGCAACCGTCAGTCCCCGGCTCGTACACAGAGAGTGGATCGAGGTGGACTCTGGGCTTTTGAGTATGTGCTGAAGAAGAGGAATCACGGATCCAATCTCTTACGTTGAGTGACCAAGAGGTAAAATAGGAGGCCCTTCCCTGGACGATCCAGTCCATAGACCCCCCATGGAACTGCAAGGTCCCCTGGAGACTTCAGACGTTTTGCTGCTACTGCGGCTCTAAAACGTGCGTCAAGTGAAAGCCACGACCTCTATCCCGTACTTCGGGGCTGGGTCTCGACGTCTCTAAAACACTGGCCCGGGCTAGTGCTGGGCTGTGGCCCGTTTGGGTCCTCATGTTGCTCTCCTTCGCCGACCCTAGACACTCTGCATCTGACCTTACCTAAGGCACGGTGAGAACCCTAGCTACCTTGCCTCGCCTTGCTAATGTGCCTTAGGTATCCGTACTAGTAAGGAGAAATACCTTCCATTACCTTGGACGTTGGCGGGGCGCTTTTGTATAGTATCCGCCTTTGTCTCAGAGGAAGAAACAGCGAGCTGCAACACTCGGGAACTCGGCGAACCAAGAAACCAAAGAGACGTCCGTCCCGTCTTCAGTCGAGGAGGTAGAAACGATGTGTCGGCTGGCCAGCAAAGGAAGTAGTGGAAACGACACCAAACTTGCCATGGCGGACTGAGACCAAGGTGGGAAAGGTCAGGAAGACGAGTGACCATCGCTTTCGCTTCTGGAGCGCGGATTAAGGTAGTACCTACCTATATACCTTACCTAGCTGGAGGGGGATCCCGCCCCCGGCTGGCCTAGGTTCAGGTCTTGAACAGATACAGCCGCGCTGTGGTCCGAAACCATTTCTGAGCCCTCATTTGTCGACTTGGATGTGCTGGAGACGTGCGTCTCGACACTACCTTCCTCAGACTGGACGGGACCGGACTGGACCGTGACTCTTGTGGGCTGCACTGGCTGCACAGGCTGCACCTGCTACCACCACCTCCTCCTTCCATCTGGAGGTACTCTCACCTCAGGCACCTGGGCACCACTACCTGAGGTGCACCTTTTCCCTGCCGGGGGTCCTGCACTCGAACCTCTGCTCTTGGTGTTTGTGTGCCTTTGTTTGATCTGACACCATTTCTTTTCCTTCACCCTCAGGTGAACTGTGTCTTGCTTTCTCAAGCGCTCGAGTGGCCCGTACTGCTTCACCTCTCTTCCATCCCCTCCCAGTCAACCTTCTTTTATCCATCCTGACTCGACCCATGTTCCACCCATTTACCCATCGAGAACAACCTCATTTACTTCTACGAGGCCCTCTCATTTGCTCCTATCCAGCGACACGGAGCACGTTGCCTATTTCTTGCTCGTCTACCCCTCCCCCCTCGCTCTTTCTCGGAGTCGCCTCCCTACCTTACCTTCGAACCCCACCTTGGCCGAAACGGGGACGCCATCGAGAACAATCACACCAATAAATTTCGAGCCGTCTACGCCCCTCTTCCTACTTCTCCTTTCTTACACGCAGTCGTCGACCTCGGATACAGTCCACTGCTTCTTCCGCAATAGCGATATTTAACTCATCCTTTGCCCAAAGTCCGTCCAGCCGAGCACCATCGACCCTTTCCAGCTCGCCTTTCCCCTCTCCTGTTTCCCGACGCCATCCCGATTGCGCGATTCGTCTACGGTGGCAGGCCAGTCTCTGGTATTTGATTACACGAGACCGGCGGTTACTGTTATCTTTCCTTGGCACTAGCGATTCAACCCGATCCAAGCCGTGTACGAACGCTATCCAACACCCGATTACGATTCCCGACGATCCGAGACGGCGAAGCAGACCTTCAGTAGCAGTGCGGGAGACCACTCATACTAGAGAGTGTGGCAATCTACTACAGCGTGAGCAGGGCTTGATAGGAACCTGTTTATCGTTGTAATTGCTGGCGTAACCCAGCTTCACTTTCGATTTTCCCCATTACGATTCTCTGACGGAGACCTGCCAGTCCAACATGGCGGACCCCTTCGCGCCTCGCTCTATGAAGCGCAAGAACGTTAAGGGCCTTGCCTTGACACCTGCTGCGCCCAAGCCTCCACCAACCGCCGAGACCAGTAGTCACCGCGATAAGGATGGCGGCGACCAGTCGGCACAGTTGGAGATTGGCATCGAGTACAAGCTGGATCTGAGACCAGAGGACCTGGAGATTTTGAAGGAGCTTGGTTCAGGAAACGGAGGCACCGTTAGCAAAGTCAAACATGTTCTTACTGGAACTGTCATGGCACGAAAGGTCAGTCATCACTCCTGTCATGTTCGGCAGGCCAACTACTCACCAACGTCAGGTCATCCATGTGGAAGCAAAGAAGGAAATGCGCAAGCGCATTGTGCGTGAACTTCAGATTATGCACGGCTGCTCGTCCGAGTATATCGTCAACTTCTACGGAGCCTTCCTCAACGACCACAACGATGTCATCATGTGTATGGAGTACATGGATGTTGGGTAAGCGCTTGTCTGATACGGCTTCGGCAACGCAGGCTAACACATCTCTCAGTGCTTTGGATCGGGTATCCAAGGTCTTCGGACCTGTTCGAGTGGATGTGCTTGGAAAGATTGCCGTGGCTACCTTGGGAGGTTTGACCTACCTATACTCGAAGCACCACATTATGCACCGAGACATCAAACCGTCCAATATTTTGGTTAACTCCAGGGGAAGCATCAAGCTTTGCGACTTTGGCGTGTCTGGAGAACTCATCAACTCTGTGGCTGATACATTTGTGGGAACTTCGACGTACATGGCTCCCGAGCGAATTCAGGGCGAGAAGTACACAGTCAAGTCAGATGTGTGGAGTTTTGGTCTTACCATCATGGAAATGGCCATAGGCAAGTTTCCTTTCAACGCAAGCGAGCAACTTTCGGACGGCGAGTGCGCACCTGCAGGCATTTTAGATCTTTTGCAGCAAATTGTCCACGAGCCCGCACCCAGACTGCCCAAAAGCGATGCCTTCCCTTCGATTTTGGAAGACATGATTCAAAAGTGTCTGTCTAAGGTTCCTGACGAGCGGCCTACCCCTCAGGAGCTCTTTGTTAGTAAATCCCCTAAACATGTTTTAACCGTCCTGCTAATATGCATTTTCACTAGGATCGTGATCCGTTCGTTCAAGCTGCCAAGAGAACACCAGTGGACCTGAGAGAGTGGGCAGTTGGTATGATGGAGAGGGACAATCGCAAGTCTCACTTGGCGCCTCAGCTTTCCCCGGCAACACGCGACCTCCTAAACTCCAACGATTCCCCAACGTATCATGGCGGTTCTGGAAACGATCGATCTCTAGACACACCGACTTCAGGAGAGATTCCTATCGCAGGCGCTGGCATAATCTCCCCGAGAGAACCCGCCAGTCACTCTAACCGCTCTCCCACTAGAAATGGGCTCAATACCATGAGCAGTCGACAGCCGGGTGGCCATCCCGGCATGGGACAGAGGATTGTTACCACTAATTCGATACCCAAGGTTGGCGAGTACCCCAACAGCGCTGGCCCGGTGAGCGCCAATGCCGCGTCGTTCAGCTTGCCTGTTCGCCCGGCTCCTGGCGGACCTCTCCCCCCGGCCCCTCCTCGAAAGGGCACTCCTGATGATCCGAGACGAGAAAATCGGAGACAGGCTACCTTCGGCATGCCTCCGGCGCCCAGAAGCTACGCAAGCGATGTGTACAACGGCACCTCTAACTAGTCGCAGGAGGGCTTCGACTACATTCACAGCGTTGGGCCTCAAAGCCACCAGGCACATTCACTGCATGATAGAGCATCATACCGCGATATCTCGCTACAACGGCCATATCCATCTTTCAACCATGGGCCAAGAACTTGCAATATATCTACCCAGATGGCTTTCCGACCAGTATCTGACGGACGGGTACAACGAGCCATCGCATCAGCTCCGATTTATCCGTCTCAGAGAATGGATGGGCCTGAGAACAAAAGTCACAGGATGCGTCGCGCTGACAATGTCGCCGGCTTGGAAGATCCTTTCATCTAGACGCACAACAAAGCTAAGGGAAAGCCTCGCATAGTAAGCCCCAGCGGTGGAATGTGTCGACTCGACCATAGGGAAGCTTCTTTCCCTGTCATCATCAGCATCACTCGGCGCATGTAGGGATACCTTCCTCTGGCAAACCCTGGCGTCTTTACACACCCTGGGAATGCCTCTCGGTTCAGTCTTTCTAGAAAGCTTGGACAGAGCATTTTCCATCGATCGTCAACAAGGCAGTAGGGAATATGTCGACACCAAAAGCCTTTTATGTAGGGTACCGTGTATCTAGCAAACTTGGAGGACGGCTTTTACGGGCGACTGATATGCCCACAAGACAGAGTGACGAATGATTGAGCAATTCGTCCTGCCTGCCTAAACCGCGGTGACTTATAGTCTCTTAAATTTTTTTCTAAATAGACGTGAAAGGGACAGTAGACAAGCTGTTGCCTAGTTCCTACTCTCGCGTCTCTCTATGCCGACGAAGCCGGGTCCCTACTGCTGAAGCCCTCCTCAAGAATAGCAATCAATTCGTCTAATCGATGGATCACTAAGTCGGTGTGCTCATGGTCGACCAGATGCACATTGACATCATTGGCAAGGAGCACTGTAGCCGCGCCAGCCCTTCGTCCCGCCGTCATATCGTCAATCGAGTCCCCAACCATTATCAATTCACTGCCATCGCCGACGGCTGTCTCATTAGCGCCCTTCGAGGTGTTTGCTTCTTTGACAAGACCCCATTTTTGCGCAATATGCAAGATACCGGCAGGATCTGGCTTGGGCGGACGAAAGTCACGCGTAACGACAGGCTCGAACAATGATCCCTCGAGGAACTTTCCGAGAAGGTGTGCTACAGGTGCGTCGAAGTTGCGGGTGCAGATGCCCTTCCGGACGCCGCGGCTGTCGAGGTAGGACATGAGCTCTGCGAGTCCTGGCTGGGCGACCTGAGAGGCCATGGCCGAGCGCTCGATTTGGCGGATGGACTCCATTGCTGTCTCCTGAGCCTCTTGCGTTGAGAGGGAGTAAACGTGGTCGAGGATGTCAACACTTTTCGTGATGCCGAGGGCCTGGCGCATCTCGCCAAACATATAGGTTTGAGGCTCACTTGAGAACAGTTAGCAAGGATGTTCAGTAAGTACATCTGTGGTCTGCACGAGTCTTTAAAAGGGATAATCAAGTTGGCGGCAGTTTACTCCGAATTTGAGTTGCGACAGTTTAACAGAGGCTTTTCCCCCGCGCTCTGATCTGTACGACCCCTCGGTAAGGTTTGGGCATTCCTGCTTGGGAGGTCGATGGAGCCCAAGATGAGATTTGAAGAAGATGCCAGATGAGAGGGGTGTGATGGTAATGGAATGGCAAACGCCCAGACACGTACCATAGTGTTCCATCAACATCGAATACAATGCCCTTGAGTCGAGGTGCAGTCGACTTTGCTGCACCGCCTTGCTTCAACGGGGCAAACTGCCGGGGAGCGTGTGTAACCATTCTCGACATAAACTTCTTCATAAGAGAAGATTTTCTGTTACGAAATGCCAAGACCAACCACAAGAGGACGGTCAAGGTTACCGGAATTTGAGATAGAGTTTGCGGTCGTTGCGAATACCTTCTGTTGAGGAGCTGTTGATATGAGTTGTTTAACACTGTCTGGACGACTTCCTGGCGTGTACGCCAAGACGGAGGGGTACGTACACACCTGCCCGGATCGATGACCGCGAGTCGGGAACGTATGCAGCGGAGGGCGGCGTTAACACATTGGGCTGGGCTGGATGGCGAATTGAAGAGTGGAGACACAGTGCCGGCTGACTGAAATGTTGCACAATTCCGGACCCCGGCCGGGCAGATGACATGGGTCTAGGGATGTGAATGGTTGCCCCAAATCCCCTGCAAGGCAAGAGCTTTGCTACCTACCTGAGGTATGCTGTTAGCCTGCTAGTAGGAGGAGCTTTCCATGTGGCGAGGCCCAACCTGCAGCATTTTAGACCAGTATCAATGTCGCGGATGCTCGGTCGTTGGGAATCTTGGTATTTGCAGTTAGCAGTGGTAGTATTACGCAGCGCTGCGTTTTGTTCTTGCTCTTCAGCCTTTTAACGTGCAACAAAATACCCAAGGGACGCCACAAGTTCATCCCTATTGCTCCACCCTGGCAAACGAACCTCCGTTGGACAAGCTTCTGCAAGCGCCCTTGTCGAGCGCATCCAAACCGACTGCTCCAACACGGCCGACATTTGGGTGCTGCGCAACACCCAACCGTGATGAGCTCGACGAACAACAACCCATGGCCACCTAGGCGGCCCTCGAAACGGAGCGTGAGTGATTAGGCCATCATCCCTTTGGGCGAAGCTTGCGGGCCGATGTCGTGCAACTCGTAGCTGACCGCGCGGTGTGATTCTAGAAGCTCCGGAATGGCACCTTCATCGTCCCAGGCACCGGCGAACGCAGCCGCCGCCAATTCTCCCTCCGCGGGTCGAGCATCGAGATCCCCCCGCCCGAAGTGAATGGTTACCGATCCCTCTTGGCCGCCGAGTCGACGGGCGAGTCTCTGAATGTGGTCAAACATAACATCAAGACCAGTGCCCTGCACTTCTGGGACTGGCTCCTGTCTCCGGCAGGCAAAGGCGTCCTGAAGTGTACCTTGGCCTATCTGTTGGCTAGCATGGCGACATTTCTCTCGCCCATCTCGGCTTTCTTGGGCAAGCCTGATGGAAAGCACGTTGTCGCGACTTTGACGGTCTATTTCCACGCCAGTCGGACGTGGGGTTCCATGGTCGAGGCAGTCGCCATTGCCACCATCGCCGTCCTGTACGCCGAGATCATATCGTGCCTAGCCATGGCTTTCTCCGTTGTCGTAGGGGGTCAACTCGGCCTCATTCCGCTCTCCCACGTTCTCATCCTGACGTTCTGCATCGGCGGTGGTATGGGTTTCATCGGGTGGGTGAAGCAGAGGTTGAACAACCCTTTGGTCAACGTGGGATGTACCCTTTCCTCGATTGCCATCATCGCTGTTGTCACTAGGGAGGAAGCAATCCATGAAGGGCACTTCTCCGAGGCCAAGATTGTGCAGGTACTTAAGATGTTGGCTATCGGCATTACAATCACAGCAACGGTCAACTTCTTTGTCTGGAGGGTGTCGGCACGGGCCCTCCTGCGTTCCTCGATGAACTCGGCTGCCATATCGCTAGCGGACATGCTCTCCATGATCACACGTGGCTTTTTGAACGGTTCCGAGAACGAGATTATGTCGGGGGACTTTGGCCAAGTTGCGAGACTGTACAAAACAACGTACAGTAAGATGACGAAGAATCTTAGGGAATCGAAACTGGAGCACTGGGTCCTTGGACGCGAGAAAATCTATAACCTGGAAAAGGCTCTCGTTAAATCGTTGGAATCCCTATCGCAAGCCATTGGAGGTTTAAGGAGTGCGGCCAACACACAATTTGCTTTGCTCAAGGAGATGCCACAGGATCCCATGGGTGGGCAGCTTTCGCCTGGAAGCACGGTGTTCTCTCCAACATTATCTCGCGCCATGTCCCAGTACCTCAAGGGTGCGCGGGATCGGTTCGCAACACTGGCTTCAATCGAGGAGGATGACGAGTATGACGATGATTTGGACAGCCACCCGAGCCCTGAGGCAACTCCGGATGGCCCTCCGGCGCCGCTTCCCACTTTCCGATCACCGTCAGAGATCTTTGAGCTCTTCATAGCGCTGTTGGGTCCTTCGATGAAGTCTCTGGCATACACTCTTTCGGAGATTCTGAGAGAGCAAGCTTTTGCCAAGGGGGCAGACTCCAAGATAACAGTGAATCCCCATTTCAAGCATAGCTTACAAGACGCCATGGCGCTGTACAGTAATGCGAGAACTCATGCCCTGCAAGAGCTCTACACGAGTATTGAGCTGGGCCGAGCAAGGTCGGAAAAAATTCAAGCAGACATAGAAGAGGTCGCTGCTGCCTGTGGACATTTCAGTTTCAGTCTGCAGCATGTGGCCGAGGATATTGACGCTTACCTGACAGCCTTGGAGGATCTCAAGTATAACCGTGAGATGGGTTCCCGCAGCTGGAACTGGCTAAAGATTTGGAAGTACTTCTCCTCACCCACACAACCCAAGGCATCCGACCCAAGCAACTTGGACACCGAGCGTCTGTTACATCAACCTATGGAGCCCCCCGAGCAGCCGGTTCGTGCCATCAGGAAATCGGCTCTTCCCAGGGGCATTCCGGATACAATGATCAAACGCAGAGACACCTTTAGCTGGGATGCCGCACCCAACGCGAGCATGGTTATGAGATTTTTTTCGCAACAGCTTCTAAAGGGCTTGAGAGTTTTGGCTCGCGATGACAGTGAGTTACTAGTCCTTGAAGTATATGGAGGCACAGCTAACGATATGTTTAGTTCGATTTGGTGTCAAAGTAGGCTTTGGTGCGATGCTCTGGGCCGCATGTGCCTTTATTCCGGCAACAAGACCGACGTATCAGCACTGGCGAGGCGAGTGGGGCTTGCTATCTTTCATGATTGTCGCGTCTATGACGGTTGGAGCAGCCAACACCACGGGCACGGCAAGGTTCATCGGCACCATCGCCGGAGCTACTTTTTCCCTGACGGCATGGGCCATCAGCCAAGGAAACGGAGTCATTCTCGCGTTCCTGGGCTGGATGGTGAGCTTCTTCAGCTTCTACATGATGCTCGTCAAGAACAATGCTCCCTTTGGTAGGATTACGCTTCTAGCCTGGAACGTTACTGTTCTCTACGCTTATTCGTTGTCACAAAAGGTGGATGATGACGATGACGACGAGGGTGGTTCCAGCCCTTTGATGTTTGAGATTGTCTACCACAGATTTGTGGCTGTGTCGCTTGGTATTGTATGGGGTATCTTTGTCTGCCGAGCAATCTGGCCTATTTCGGGCAGGAAGAAGTTCAAGGAAGGCCTCTCAGTACTTTACCTTCAGCTTGGTCTCATCTGGAAGAGAGGGCCGCTGGCTATCTTGCTTCGAAGCGACAATACAAGGTCGTACATGAAAGCCGGAGAAGAACAAGCACTACAGCGCTATGGTATGGGATCCCCTCCCCTTTGACTCCTGAAGACAGATGCCGCTGACACTGACCATAGCCTTCAAGCTCGAAGCCTTGCGTAATTCCGCAAAGAGCGAGTTCGAACTCCGTGGCCCTTTTCCCGATGCCGCTTACGGCCGCATCATGCAGTCCACCAGCAAGATCTTGGACGGATTCCACGCCATGCGGCTCGTGACTTCCAGAAGAGGACAGCTCTCTGGCGGCGAACGAGCATTGCTCGAATACACGGCGCCAGAGCGCGCACAACTTTGCGACCGCATTTGCCACGTGTTTCAAGTGCTCGCAAGCTCCCTGATGCTAGAATACCCGCTCACCGACGCGATCCCGTCGGTGGTGGGCAACAAAGACCGGCTGCTGGGCAAGATTTATCAGTTCCGCAAGGAGCATCAGCCCCCTTCTCCCATAGTTGGGAACGGCTTTGAGGAGCGGCAGCCGGAGGAGGAGGAGGGCACTGGCAACGGCAACGCGAACAATAACAATAACAGCAACAATCAGACTACCAAGAATGGTGTCGTATTGGAAGAAAAGGACTTTGCTCTGTTGTATGCGTACACCTTGGTCACGGCCCAGGTCGCGCAGGAGCTTGAATACGTGCAGAGGGAGATTGAGAACCTTTTTGGCGTGCTCAACACGGAGGCGCTTTTGCTGCAGTGACACTTGAACACACATGGAAAAGAAAAACGTCGCTGGTAGAGAAGTGGTGGCAAGGGCAGTAGAGAGTGAGAGGGGAGATGAACAAACAAAAGGGGTGACTGGCTGATTGACTTGACGAAATAGGCATGGCGTTTGGTCCAACTGTATACATTACTAGGGATACCTTTCAGGGGGCTATTGGGCATGAGAGCGGCAAGGGCATCGGGCACCAGGCATACATATATACAAGTAGTCGTAGTAGTAGTCATCATTGAACATTGTTCAACCCACCCGGATCCTCGCTTGAGGATTTTCCCTTGCTTCACCCACCCCGGGAACGAAAGCCGCCGCTGGTTCACAATTAAGCAGCAACGGTTCACACTACGATGGCATTAATTGGGTTGAACCACAGGCGGATGGCCTCACGAGATTCTGGTGTAGTGTATAATGGTTGTAGTATGGAGTTATTGCTATTCTAGCTGTACAACATCAAAAGCGTAGATCGCGAGCTCTCTGAGCTCGCTAGGCATGGCGACGATCATGTATACGATGGCTCTTCCGCAAATTTGTCCACCGCTCCCTACTTGCTCTCCGTCTTTTTCCCTGAGACCAATCTGATAAGCCCCCGTCGTCGACTCTCACCACATCAGCCCCCACAGACCATCAGATCCCAGGAAAGAGCACGCAACCTAGCGCCATCTGAACGCCATGCCATGAACGGGTCCCCTTGTAAACGCCAAATGAGAGGCAATAACACGTACACTGTTTGTAAACAGCCTGAACTCGCAAACTCGCTGCGTCAACTTCGTCAAAACAAACAAATAGCAACGTATAGGGAAATGTAGCATCGGATACACCTAGTTCCAGCCATGCAACATTCTATCAGCGTCTTCGTGGATACGAAAGCCTATACCATCGTCGGCGCCAGGCACCTGCCAGCCACGCTGGGTGCTGGGATATTCGGACGGCTGACTACTCACTTCCGACTGAACGTCGTCATCAACCGTCGGTGAGAAGAGCGGGTCAATGTTCTCGCCGTCAGACATATGTTCTTGATCCTCAATGCCGGGCCAAGGCTCATCCTCAGGCAGATGGATCTGCCGCGAGAACGATGAGTCACCCTCGCGTTCCGGTGGCACGTTAGCAACCATCTCGACGCTGTAATCGCTGTCATCATCGTCATCGTAAGGATTCGTACTTCCGTAATCCGGATCGAGGTTTTCGTCATCGTCGGCGGGGGAACCGTCCACCACGACGCCCGTGCCGCGCGGACGGGTCTCGCCCAGCGGTGCGTTGCTGTACGGGGTGGCATAGTAGTGGGGCGTGATGCCACGGGTTGACGGGTGACGCTCATCAGAAGGAATGACGCCGGGCATCGGGCTTGGGGAAACCGTCCACCGAGGGGTGTTGAGAGGGCGGCTCGGCGATCGAGTCGCGCGGCGCCGCTTGTAGGCAGTCGAGATGTTTGGAAGACTTGGCCGGACTGGAGCAGCTGGCCTTTGGCCAAAGGACGATACACGGCGTTTGATCTGTGACGGCGACATATTGGCAGGAACCGAGGGAGGGAGCGAGGCGGTGCGGATGTAAGGTGGCTTTGTAATCCTTCCTTCCTTTACAGGAGTTTGACCACGGCCTACCATTGGACTGGATGATCGCATCGAAGACTGCATCGCAATAAAATGTAGTGAAGGGGACGCTGATACTCGCTGCCCGGCTTGGCGTATACTAAGAGAGGATGGTACACTTGCAGTCTCGTCGAGTTGGTCGTTCCACGCCCAGTGATCCTCTTTCGCGTCGGCTTCAGGAACTTCCTGGTTAGCTTGAGAATCGGGATAGAGCCGACTCATCTCCCGAACGCGTTGCCAACTCCAACCACTCTCGTATGCTGAAAGATCTTGGAGATAGGCTTCCGGCTGGGTGATGAACAGACGCGGCTCGGAGGACCTCATGATGATAGAGTTGAGAAATGAGACGTCCCAGAGTGCTGGCGTAACCATCTCTGCCGGCGTCAGAAACCGGAGGCGGGAGTCTTTGTGAATCTTGCGAAGCGGTACCCATGGTTGCTGTAGGCCCAAGAAGCGGCTAGTCTTATTGTCAAGACTGCGCCGACGTGAGGTTGAGCGTGTCCCGCCAGAAAGTTCGGTCAAGGCAGTACCAAATGCAGCGTGGACCGCTGCCTGGACGCTTCGTGCGTCTGAACCTCTGACGGAAATAGTGCGCACTAAGCCGCGACTTTTGAGTCTGCTGTTGATAATACTGATAACACTGCAGGCCTTTGCCATCAACCATCCGTAGTCGTGTCCGGGATCAGCCCATTCTGCGCAGAAAGGTGACTGCGCTCTAAGTGTGTGAGAGCTCATGGTGTTGGGCATCTGGGTCCACTCATCCAAGCTCGAAGGGCCATCGGACTTGAAATCTTGGAGCTCCTGCCAGACCCTCCTCAGCGGAAAAGGCAGAAACACGACTTCAATTTCCCAAGGTCGGGTGGCCGTGGGGAGCTGTGACTGAAGCTGAAGCATCTGAGACTGCAGCATCTGGATTTGGCTGAGAATTTCGTCAGACTGGCCGGCTCGCGTGGTGGCTGCACTGGTAGCGACTGAAACAACGCTGTTGGTTGATTCGTCAAAGGTTTGTCGGTCGGTGAGACGACCTATAACACTGCCGTTGTCATTGATGAGCTTTTCAACCTCCTCAAAGCGAACCTCAAGGTCAGTCACGCGGAGATCTGTGGCGTCGTGCTTCTCATGACACTCTTCGTGCCCGGCAGCGGAGAATGAAACATTTTCGAGCCTCTCGAGACGGTGCTCGTGACCTTGGACTGTATCCGAAAGATGGCGAAAGGTATCGCGAGACGGTCCGGCAAAAACAGCATCGACCTTTTCCAGGGTGCGTTGAGACAGAGTGCGTGGGGACTGCGCTCTTGGAGTGTCTGCGCCATGCTCACTGTGAACAATCATAGTGCCATCGTCGTCCTTGGTAAGTTGATCCCGGGGAGCGGAAGTATTCGCATCCTGAAGTCTATCCTTCCGTAGAGATTGCACGTTAGACGTGGCAACACCACTGAGTGTCTGAAGACCTTTGCCAGAAAACGGACGAAGATAGCGAGCCTGGCTGGAAGATGTCGTAGAGCTGGGCTGAGACTGCATTAGGCATTGTGCTGGTATCGGTGGCAACGAAGTAGAACCATTTCCGGCTTGGGACTGAATTAAGTCGCCCCAGCTTAACGTATCCTGCAAGGTAGAGTTGGGACGCTGGCTAATGTGATCCATATGGCGGGTCCTAGATTCATCGGGTTTGCTCGGAGATATAACCATGGCAGTATCCAGGTTCATGAAATCCATGGTCGGAGAAAATCCAGTGGGTATGCGTAACGACATATCGGGCAACTGAACCGGGCTAAGAGGCTCTCTGGATATCCTTGGTCTCTCATTCTCCTGGCGAGAGACGGGGGCGACGGGGGCGGGGGTGAGCGCAGACACTGGCGCGGGTGCTGGAGTCTCGCTCACGGCGCGTCCGTCATCATGAAAGCAGGCGTGATGCGAGCACATGCACCAGACGGAATTGCCAGTCCCCGGGCTGTCCGTGTATGCTCTCCCGGCGGCAAAGCGACTCCAGAATCGACGGCATCCGCACTTGGCTCCGTTGGCGCCTGGGCTTAGGTCCACGTAGTTGCATGCTCCTCCAGGGAGTGGAATGGGATTGCGCTGGGCAGCGCCATCATTGTAAATATCGAAGAACGAAGAGCCCGGTAGAGGGAGATCGAAAGGTGTTGTTGCCATTGGCGGCAGCAATGCTCATCGGGGAGGCCGGGGAAATGATCGGACGGCGATGGGATGGCGCGGGAGCTTGGGTGCCGGTGAGCTGGGATGGGAGGTCGACGATGTTGGAATCGATGCGATGGAGGAAGTTGAGTGAAACGAGACGAAGCAACTGCCTATGCGGCCCAAACCAGGGCCCAGCTGGGTCGCAATCCGAGAGACCTAGAACATTGCAGCTGCTGTGGTAATTAGCCCTCTATCCTCTAGGTACCCAATCATGGGAGATATGTCCTGGATGGAAGCTGGCACTCGCAAGCCAACCGGGGAAACCCTCAGGCCGAAGCACGCACCCGTCACGGAGTTGATGTATAACAAATCGCAGACAGTTAGTCGGATTCGGGAATAGGGCCTTCTTATTTATAAGTGCATGCGCCAACTTGGTGAAGAATCGCACGGGTTGAGTGATGCGACAGGCGGACGAGACTGGCGAACAATTGAGTGGTGGGGGGGAGAGGTGTTGTTGATAGAAAGTGAGGCGGCTACTGGATTGGGCAGCACGAGCACGACCGAGGAACCAGGGCGCTGGTTAATGGATGGGCAGGATGGCTGATCGAGGCGGAGGAGTGGGAACAGACTGGAAGGAGGGAGACGGGTAATTAGGAACGAGGCATGCGAAAAGGTGGAGAAGAGAAACAAGTTGAGCAGCACCTAGCTTCGCTCAGGTTTACGGATATCGTTTACTCGAGGTCACAACGTGTTAGCGAAGCAGGTGGGCTTATGCAGGTTGGCAGGAATGACTCGAAAAGAGTTACAGGGGTTCTGATATCTCAACGCCGAATGCTGTCCTAAGGCTGCTAGTGGATGTCTGTCGTAGTAAGGTAGACGCTCTGTGTACGGTATAAGCCATGGTGGGAATTGCGTCGAGCTGGCACGCACAGCGTGCAGGCAGCTCGAGCCGTGATGCGGCATCAGATACGGGTGTGTGGGTGGGTGGGCGTACCTGGCGCTGTAGGATTTTGCTTGCATAAGGTATGGAGATTCCATGGGCGCCACGTCTATTCGTAGGTACACGAGAGCTCAGTCGACGCCTCTTACCTCTCTTGCCCAGGAAGTGATGTGATGGGCTTCAGTGCAAGGCTGCAAGAAGCTACATACCGGAAGCTGTGCTGCATAGGCGCTTCTTCCGCCCAGTTTCTTAACCGGCTGAGCCTGCTCCAGGCCTCCATGTCACCATGGGCAGGTCGAGAGGCAGGGGGGAAAGACAGCAGAAAAAGAAAGAGGCATCGATCGGAGTGATTGGATATCCACGACCAGAACGCGTCTCCTCTTGCTTGCCTGCCATGGGCTAAAGTATCCAGGGTGCTCCACCAGCGTACCCTTGCAAGCTCCATGTTCTCGGAGCTCCGATTGGCATGCGGCGGAAGCATCCCATTGGCTGACGCCAGCTTCGAGCGACCCGGGCCCCTCTCTCCCTCACCCGCCCGACCTCTTTTCCACCGCGACTTGCATGACCGGGTATCTTCGTATCTCGCAGAGTCGCGACACCAACATTCACCGTGTTCTGATACCAGCGACCAGAAGCTATTTCTCCTCCCGTGACCTTCGACTGCAAAACCTCCAATCATCCTTTTGGTTCCCAACAATGTGCTCCACTGTAGAGAAGACCGCGAGATCACGATAAGCAAGAGATTTGCCATTGTGGACTCGTGGGGATGGGGGGTGCAAAGGTTTAAAAAAAAAAAAAAAAAAAAAAAAAAAAAAGAAAAAACAAAAAAACAGGAAGGTGCAAAGCGAAGGCAGGAGGGGTGGCGGGGGGGGGGGGGGGGGGGGGGGGGGGGGTGAAAAGAAAAAAAAAAAAAAAAAAAAAAAAAAAAAAAAAAAGCAACGACCAAGATAGCCGTTTTATTCCAGAGATGGAAGGACACTGTTCAAGTTAGCAGTCACTGATTTTGACACGGTTGGATTGACCGTGCATTAACACCCTCCCTTTTTTTTGGGGGGGGGGGTTAATTAGCAACTTTTCAGCACAGATCCACGTCTGTGGATGGCAGCAAAGCAGCGCGAAGCACGCGTTTTCCGCGTAATAAATTGCGTCTTTTGATTTCGGGGGGACGGACGAAGAGATAGGCAGGCAAACGGAACCTAGATTTCTAGATCCTGCGTTGATGTTTGATGGGCCGAGAAGGCACACGCTAGGCTGACACTTGATGATGCTATTCATTGGCAAACCGTGAGGCGTCCTGCCCGCACGGCGATCTCACCCGCGCGCGAGGCGCCCCGAATACTGACTGGTTTCCAGCGCAAAGCGGCATGTGGAAATCGCTGCTAGCCTTGTTCAACAGCTTCGACGCTGGGGGATGGATCGTTGCGCAAATTTCCAGTCAAGCCTCGTCATACATCGTTGGTTCCCAACTCATAGCCTGAAGCGAGGTGATCCAGGAAAGGAACAGGGCTTTTGAGTTGGGAGTCACGATACGGAGGTACTCCGCCCGTATACAACTCAGATTAGGTGGGTAAAGGTGGAGACTGTGAGTCTGTGACGACCTTGACGGATATAATACATTGCTGATCGCGTCTCGAGACGAGCTCTGTGAAGCCCGTGTGGTTTCTAGCAAGCTTGCTTCACCATTCGCCTCGGACTACCTTAGACAGGTGGGTTGCTCGTCGGCTTGATTGCCAAGTTGATTGTGTCACTCGACCCGTCCCGCTCGGGGCCAAGGCTCCACATATGCCGCCGCCTAGCCGGTCCACCGGTCAAAGATCCGGAGGAGCGGTTCGTTCCTTTCCCGGTATGTCTTCTTCCCTTTTACGGCAAGCGCCAGACCTGGTTCGTCTAGGCATCACCCACAAATTGCCTTCACAGACAAGGATAGCTATCAGTCTCGCGTCGCTTGTAGGCATGTGAAAAGGCTACATGTTTCAATTACGCAGACTTGTTAATGTTTATATGATCTGTAGATGCTTAGTAGCTCTAAACCCTTTGTCGTTATGATCTGATATGCAAATGCTGTTCCCAATACCCGTCAAACGCGCGACAGTTCTCAACAACTCCCGCTGGCCCAAGGTAATAATACACATCTATTGTAAACACACGCCCGTTCGTAGCCGATAATCGCAGCGGCAGAGAATAGAAATGAGACAGATGACTCTATCCGGCTGTGAAACTGTTGATGATCTAATTTACTCAGACTTCGCCCCAACTGCCCATTGGGCCCACCGAGGCGATGACTGATCCCGTTCCGATAGAACCTCCAATGTCCCAGTAGTGCCGTGAAGAAACGCTGCTCCGTCTCGCCGATCGACGTGTGCTTTGGCTCGCGCAGCTGGACGCGTGCCGCATGGCGGCGGGGCTAGATGGTGTCGTCGCCTTGAACGTCCTGCGCTCCACCTGTCGGGCTCGGGAGACGAGCGGGTGATGCTGGCGCACCCGCGCGGCCTTAGCTGCTGTATCTGGCGTGCTTGAGGTGGCAAGATGGGAAGTACCGGTTGTGAAAGTAGCTGAAGGCGTCGACCGCGAGCTGAAGCGTGATCGCAGATACCTAAAGACAAGGTTGACATCCAAGTCTTGCTCCCATTCTTCCTGGGTGAAAGTGGTAGGCAATGTGGTTGACTCATCCCTAGTCAAGGGCACAGGAGGATCCAACTGGGGCCGGGAAGCGGGGATATTGATGGGTCGCGTGTGTTGAACCATTGTTGGCTGGAATTCGGGCATCTTGGTCGAAGCTTCCCGGGCCACGGGAGCCACTGCCGTATCAGTGCTCGACTCTGGTATAGCTGGCAGCCCCGCATAGGGTATGGACATTTGTTGCATACGGGTGTAGGTCGCGAAGGCACCAGGGTGGTGATGCGGCGAAAGTTGGTTGACCATCAGGCCAAGCTCTTTTGCGACACGATCCAACGCCCGCAGTTGCCAAGATGAGTCAGTGGATTGCTGAGTGGGTGTGTTGGATAAATCCGCGCCCGTGTTGGGTGTTGTTGATAAGTCATCATCTGATGGCAGCTGCTCTCCAAGCAAGATCGAGAGCAGTCTCTCGTCGATACCCAGGTCGTTAAGAACCCTGCGGGTAATCCTGTCAATCAGGCCCCGCTCGCTGTCTTTGGTGTCGGTCGACTCGTAGTGCCAGTCCATGCTGTCAGCATCGTCTTCATTTCCGATGGCACTCAAGCTTGCAACATCTTCGGCCTTTTTGTCTTCTGTCGTGACGGTTGGTCTCACTGAGACCATGGACTGGCGCCGCCGTCTGGTCTCCCTACTGATCTCCTCTAACAAGATGCGACTCTGCTCCAGGCGCCAAGCCTCGATCCGCTGCATCTTGTGTGTCTCTTGTTCCTGCTCGACTTCCATCTCGAGCTGAGCCAGCTCGAGACTCTCACGACGCCTTCGCACATGCCTGGGGTTGAATTTCTCAAATGCATAGAGCTGCTCCTGGACCTCGGGGTTGTCTAGCCTAAAAGAGCCCAGGCCATCGTGGGTGGGGAGTACGGGAACACTTTGCGCCCCAGCAGCACCGACAGAATGTGTGTACAGGCTTGGGACCGTCCTGAATTCGGGGAGGTGACTGTCGAGGCTGTCGAGTTCTGCATCGTCCTCGACTGATTCTTCGTCAATAGCACTCGAAAGGACTCCCGACTGCCGGGACTCTGTGTCGCGGGCTGAGTGGAGGAACGTGTTGAGGCTGCCTATGTCACTAAGTCTGGATCGGCCCGGCGTGGGAAGTGACTCTTCTTCTTCGCCGAGGTAGGAGGAAGCCGTCGTCGTGTCATCGGCTGGTTCGAAGAGCACCCACGAGTGTGAGGCATCGGTAGCAGCGGGATCTTGGACGTGGAGTTGGGGAATGTCGCGATCCTCCTCTTGCACAGGGCGTACAACACGCTGCTGAGAAGGCCGCCGGGTAGGTTGATGGAAAGCCATAGTGTATATCTGATTGCCGAGTTGGAACAACCAGAGACCGGAGTGATATGTAAGTAGTTGAGTTGTGTTCGTCCGATAAAGGATGGGCGAACAATCACGATAAGGCCCC